AACACCAGTTGTGACTGGTGAGCAGGGAAAGATGTTTGATTTAACTTGCCTATTCCATAAATCTTTTGCATGGAAACTCCACACAGTCTCTGTAGATTAGCATGAATCATTAGAATGGATCCTCCCCCTCAAATAATGCCCCACTTTATTTTCCCCTGAGACATCAACTAAATGTATTAGATTTGCAAAAAAAAAAAAAAATGGTTAAAACCCTACAGAACTGGAAGACATATCACATCATAACTTCTTCAAAGTAATAGCAATAAGCATTAGTGAAATATATTTATATATATATAAAATATATATATATTTTATATATATATATAATATAATTATATTTATATGCTGACCTCCTTTACAGATTAAGAATTGTGAGGAGATGATTATATATATATATATAGGGAGAGAGAGAGAGAGACAGAGAGAGAGAGAGAGAGAGAGAAGTAGAGCCAAAGAAAGTAGTTGCTCCACTCAATGAAATAACCATCTATTGAGTTGAGGTAATCCAAAGCTCACTGTTAAATTTCAACAGCACTGTCAGATTGACAGTTAAACTAAATCATACACATAAGATCCATGTAATTACTGTGTGGAAAAAGGCAGGATGGTGGCCTTTGGCTCCAGTGTGAACTTCTTTTTAGAGTCAGGTTTGCTGATTGTGGATGTGGATGTGGAGATTGTGGATGATGCTAGCAAGCACTTATAAAAGTGTTTGTTCTTGATGCCTACATCTACTTGAGAAATATCTTTTTATTTTATTTTTAATTTTCACGTGATTCAGAGTAGGAGGAAAGGGAAAGGAAGAGAACTGGATTTTGTCCAAATGCACTCAATAGTTCACTTGAAATTTAACTGAGGGTCACTAATGAAACAGACTGGATGAATTCTCAAGGATAATTACAGAACAGGCAAGATCTCAGAAAAGAACAGTCTGAGTTCAAGCACAGTTTGCAAGACACAACAAATACGTTTTTGTGCTGTGACAAATAATCTGGCACATATTTGTTGTACTGATAAAAACCTGAAGACTGAAGATAACCTGCTTCCAGCTTCAGAGAACTGTTAATGAGAACGTTTGAAGCAGATGAAATTGCTGTTGACTTCACAGACTTGGGAAACAAAGTGAGCTAATATCTGAGGGTACAGGGCTTACAAGCTCTTTTTCCTTCCTACCACACAACTGCACCTGTACCACAAAGCAGAGTGGGGTCTCACCTGGCCACCAGATGATCGAGTCCTAGCATCTCCACACTGTGGAAGATGCTCTGAAGATGCATGTGACCTAAGGATTTACAGCTGCTGTCAGGGACTCAACTACAAAGCGGGATCCATGTATTCTCTTGGCTGTCAAGGCCAAACCGCTTTAACAAGAACTTTCATGGTATTTATTGTGGTTTAACCCAGCAGGTGGCTCAGCATCACAAAGTTGTTCGTTTACTCCCCGCTTTCTCAATGGATAAAGGAAGACAGTCAGAAAAGAAAAGTGAAATTTACGAGTTGAGATAAAACTACTTACTAAGATAGAAAAAAGGAAAATAGTAATGACTCTACATATATATAGGAATGTCTATAACAAGCAATGCACAAACAACCACTCAACACCCCCTGATCGATGCCCAGCTAGCTCCAGGAGCTGAAAAAGAAACATCAGCTCCCATTCCCTTCAAAACTCTTTTGGCATGATGTCATAAAGGTATGGAATATTCCTTTGGCCAGTTGAAGTCAGTTATCCTAATTCTGTTCCCTCCCAGCTCCTTGGGCCCTTTACTGAGAATGGCCTTGGTTCTGTACAACACTGCTTAACAGCAACTATAAACATCAGTGTGTTATCAACATTGTTTTTCTACTAGAAGCAAAACATTGCATCATACCAGACACTCTGAAGAAAGCTATTCCATCCCAGCTGAAACTAAGATACCTTTCTATTACATCTTGGTACCGATAAGTCAGACCCCTCATACTTGATTCTTTGGGGAATTCAAAATAATTGTTATGGAACCCAATGAGTTTCTGCAGTATTTAGTGACAGATAACTTCTGCGTTCACTGATGTTTATAGGTGTAACAGTAACCAGACCTGTTATAGTAGCTTTTCTGGTAGTTACATCTGGGATTCACTGCAGCTAAGGCATAGAGTTATGCTGCCCTTGCCCCCATTGATAGCAATACAGAGCATCACGACATTATCTGTATCACCCCAAATGGAACTCAGGTATATATTTATTTACTATTTATTTTGCTCTGCAGCACGATTGCTTTGAAATACTTGCCAAGTTAGATACGTGTTATGACTAAAGGTAAATTGACGTTTTAACCCAGAATTAGTAAACCTTCTTCAAAAAATCTTCTTGCATGGGAATATTTCCAGAATGGATTATGATTATAATCCATTTAGACCTCTCATACTAATTTTACAATACAAGAAAGCTGCCAGCGTTCTTAGTCTATCAATGGTTGTTAATTTATCTTGAAACAAGTAATGACAATAGAAGAGGAGAAAGCAGTGGTGCTGAACTGTGAGCAAGCATCTTTTCATGTCAGAACAAGATCCGAGTCAGTGTCACTCCAGAATAAAGACAATTATTACTTCAGAGCCTTGTATGGCAGTAGGCATGTGCAACTGAGACTAGCTCCATGTCAACAGTTACATACAGCTGAGGACATGTGTTTGGCTGACAAACGATGTGCAAATATTATTCTGTTGATGCAGACACAAAGTTTGAGGTGGCCTCAGTTAGTAAACAAAGACGGAAAATGTACCTCACACATTCACTCCATGCTTCAAAAACAAGCGATTTAGCGGAAGACATCTGGATGTTCAAAAATTAGCATGACGGTATTCAGAGCCCATCAAAACAGGCAGCCATGGTGCGGCGTCTCGTAGCTAAGCAACGCACTTCATACATTCAAAACATAGTTGTAAAAGTGGGATCCTCCTGCCAACTGCTGCCACTCTCATTGAAAAGCTAAACTGGAAAAAATCTTGCTCGAGCTCAAAGTGGGACTGTTTTCTGCAGGAAACATCTCCGCTCCTTTTTCATTCTTTAACCCTTTTTTGTGTTTACATTCCAAGATGAGCAAATAGATTCATGTTGACATTCTGACTGTAAGCATATAAAAATCATGTGGATTCCCTGCAAAGAACATCATAAACACATGTAGCAAGAAACTACGATCCTGTCCTTTCTGAGCCAAATACTGACATGCAATGCCAAACAATGCGCCTGTACACGCAACCAGTCATCAGAACAGATTATGTTATCCGGAATTGCTCTGCTGCATGCACTACATGTAAACCAGGAAAAACCACTGAGGCATGTGCCTTTCTTTTCCAGAGTACCTACATCCCTAAGTAACAACGCAAACAATATTTGCATCTTAAGAGTGGAGGGAGACCAGGGGAACGGTGACACTTAGTGGATGTACTGCATGCATCTGAAAGCAATAACCCTGCCCATGGAAGATGTGTTACTCAGGAGTAATTCAAAGTGGGTTACTGATTAGCACTCTTGTTCTGGCATGAGGGCCATGCAAAAATCCGTGGATAAGCATCTGTAAAGCAAGTGCATTTTAAAGCCACATCCTACCTTAATCCAATGAAGTTAAATCATTAAGCTAGGACTCACAGCCTGCCACCGTAGGAGTTTCTGAACCACAATAAATCCCAAGGAAATAAATGGGAATTCTGGCAGAGACACACACCCTCTAGTGAAAGAGTGATGGATTTTGGCCCAAGCTTAACCAATAAGCCATTGGAAGGGATGTTTATAGCAAAAAGCAAGAACACTATGACCCACCCTAGGTAGCCTGCTTTCTTTCAGATTGTAATGATAAAAAAATGAAAGCTTGCAAATTGGAATGATGGGTTTTAAACTGCTAAAAAAAGGCTCCAGTTGCACAAGGGACGCCTGACCGACACAGAACTTAATGTTTCAACTATTTACAGCTATAAAAGCAAGCCAGGCACTTTTTTTCCCCCTTCTGGAGCAACTCCTTCCACAAACCATCCAAAGCATCCTTTTTGGCAGGCTTTGGTGATGTAGAAAAGCAGGAGTACTCGAACCAACGGAAAGTCATGCCGTTATTTTTTTCATACTTGAGGAAGAAAAAAAATTAAAAAAAGAAAACACCAAACCCAGACCGCTGAGGGCAGAGTCTTACAGAAGAACTTCATTGCATAAACTCTACCACATGTCTACTACAGCAATGTCCCGTAACGACCTCTGGCGATGCAATTAATTAGTGAGTGGGCAGGGAGTGAGGCGCAGCTCCGTGTGGCTCAGGCTGGTGGGTTCTGACCCATGGCTGGTTGGGACACTCATGTCTCACTGCAGGGCAGAATTCTGCATCCCCTCACCAGCAGCCCAGCTCACTCCACTTCTGCAGCTCTGTTTGCCTGTGGTTTCCATTTGTGCCCTACCCTCGAACCACAGAGCAGCAGCCAGCTTCCAGAGCAGCAGAGCTGGCCTGTTGTGCTGGAAATAGCCCGTCAACCCCCTCAGTGAGGAAGTCTCATGTGCTTTTACGCTGCCCTGTATGGGCTTGCTAGCAGCTAAGCAGGTTCACTGGGGGACTAATATAGGCTGGGGAACAGTCAGCTTGCAGAACAGATCTCTCCCTGAGAGGGGCTGTGTGCGACGAGCTCAATGGGAGAGGACACAGTGTCATCTCCCAAGGGAAACAAGGAAGACAGCTTCAGATCTGCCAAACCACTGCCTCTCTGATCTGGCAGCAGTCCCAGTGCCGTGCTGAAATGGATGGCCTCACAGGGAAGAGGAGACACACCAACACGTACACGACATGTTGGCTTTCCAGCTCCACTTCCACCCCAGCAGCTGTTCATCTGGGTGCTAGTCCGTGGGCCGCAGCACTACCCAACCACAAGGACAAGGATGCGGGCAGGCAGCAGCCACCAGGCCAAGCGCGTGCTGGACAGCGGCCGCACTGCCACCGCCCCATGAAGTGTCGTGCCCGGGATGCCGGGCCCTGGTTGATGCTTACCTCGCGGGTGAAGAGGATGGCGGCGTCGTAGTGCTCGTCGTGATCGTCGTCGAGGCGGTTGTGCTGGTGCTGCCACTTGCAGAAGTTCTTAAGGGTGGTGGCGGCGTTGCGGTTGACCTCCAGCCCCTTCTCCTTCTCGCCTAGAACCACCACCTTCACAACGGCCAGCCGCACGTGGTTCTCCAGGCTGGCGTGCGCGTAGAGCCGCGAGGCGATGGAGGCCAAGGTGAGCAGGTAGTGCTGCAGCCCCTTTCCGTACTTGCGCGCCATGGACGCATCGGCCACCAGCAGCAGCTCCACCTGCCGGGCCCGCGACACCGAGCGACGCCGCCGCCGCCTCCGCCGCCCGCTCTCAGGCGCCGCCGCCGCGCCGGCCGGACCGCGGGTCTCGCAGCTGGGGCGGGCCGGCAGCGTCTCGAAGCTGAAGCGCTCCCTGCGGAAGAAGTGTGGGGCGCGGGCTGGGCCTTCGCCGTAGATCCGCTGGCCGCCCTCCTCTTCCTCGTCTTCCTCCTCCCCGCCGCGCCGTGCCGGCTTCACGGTGTAGCGGGCGCGCCCGACGGCGAAGAAGCCGTCGAGGCCGCCGCAGAGGTTGAAGACGGCCAAGGAGCGCGGGCTGCCGTCCACCGTGCCGCGGTAGTAGCAGCGCGACGGCCCGCCGTTCCGCGGCGCCCCCGGCGCCTCGTCGCGCTCCAGGTCGAGGAGGAAGCGGCGGCCGCCGGCGTAGAGCACGAAGCCCGCCCTGCCGCCCCCCGCGTAGGTCGGGTCGAGGCGCCGAACGACGCCGCTGGCCCCGCGGGGCGGCCCCGGGGGAGGGCCGGGCCGGGGCGGCGGCGGCGTTGGGGCGGCCCCGAGGGGCGGCGGCGGTGCTCCGGCGGCGGCAGGTGGCGGCGGATGGGCCGGGGCGAGGGGCAGGAGGGCGGCCAGCAGCAGGGAGAGCGGCGCGGGGAGCATGTCCCCGGCAGCAGGGATAAGCGGCGGTGATGGTCACGGAGGACGGGGAGCGAGGGGAAGGAGCCGGGCGGCGGAGTGCAGAGGGGAAGGAGAGAGGGGAGAAGGAGGGGGGGGAAAAACGAAGAAGAAAGTTCTGCCTCCTGAGCGCGAGTCAAGTGTGAGCGGGAGAGGGAAGGATGTCAACAAAAGCCGCTCGCGTGTGAACTTTGTGTTTCTCTGCAGGGAAGAGTCAGGAGCACATGGAAGGAGAGAGAGAGAGGCGAAAATCGCAAATCCCCGCTGCTGGGGAGGCGGAGGGGGGAGAGAGGGGAAGGAGGAGAGAGGCTCGGAGCCGGCGTGCAGAGAAGTTTGAGCGCTTCCCGCTCCTCTTGCACTTCTCTGCTGGAGTCAGCGGCTCATCCCCATCAGCGGCAGCAGCGGGACGAGGGCAGCTTTGCTGCGGCTCCGCGCTCCCCGGCTCCGGCGGTTCCTTCCTTCCTCTGCCCCCTTCGGTTTGGAAGAAGGAGGAGAAGGGGAGAGGAGAAATTCAGGCACCAAACACCGCTTCGATCGTCTCCGGTGTGATGATGGTTAAAAAGAGAAAGAAAAAAAAAAAAAGCAAAAAAAAAAAAAAAAAAAAAAAAGCCAAAGAAGCGGAAAACGTCCTGGATTTTGGTGCGAGCCCCCTCTTCCCCTTCTCCTTTCTGTTGTTGTTGTTATCCCCAGTCTGCCGATGTGAACAAGAGGAGAAGGGAGAGAAATGTGAAGATGAGAGGAGGTGGAACAATGAATTTATAGCGGAATGCCATCCTGCAATGGCAATTTCAACAATTCGTCACTGCAGGCTGCCTCTTAAAGGGAGAGCTTCAAAACCACCACTCCCACACTTCCTTCTCATTTAATCAGACAGAGAAACTTGAGGGGCGGGAGGAGGAGAAAGGAGAGAGAGGGAGCGAGGGAGAGGGAGGCAGGAGGGAGGAAGCCGGGGAGGGGAGAGACCGGCAGAAAATGTTTGTGTCTGAAAAACGCCGCGTTTCCTTTGGATCACTTAAAGCCGCAGAGCCGCACGGTGTGCGATACTTCGCGAGCGATCACCTCGCGTTCTGCCAAGTTCCCCCTCCGCTACAGCCGGAGCTGGGAGCTGCGGGGCTCGGAAAAGAGGGAGCGTCCCGCAGCGCTCCGGGAGAGTTCTGGCCCCTCGCTGCCCCTTGCTGCCCGCAGGCTCTGCCCCCGCCCAGGGGTAGCGGCGGCGGCACCGAGCTTCCTCCCTTTGTCCCCGCGGTCCGCAGCTCCCAGCCTGTCATTAAGGGTCGGCAAGCTGTCATCTCGCTGCGGCGGGCTGCCATTAGCCCGAGCGCCCGAGGAGGAGGAGAAGGGAGGGCGGGGAAGAGTTAACGCTCTCTGTGACCTTGCGAGCGACTTCAGATGCTAGGCTCACCACCCGCTGACCGACACGCGCACCCACGCGCTCGGTCCCCTCTCCTTCCTTCCCCATCCCCGCACCCGACGGGGACACCGCAAAGGGCAGATGTCCGGGTGCACTTTGTCATCGGCTCTTTCCACGCTGACACTGCCCGCAGGCAGAGGGGACAGCACAGAAATCCCCGCTGTTTTCTCTTCCTTGTGCCTTTGAGTCCCGCGGCGACGAGTGCCCGGAGCAGGTGCTCTCTGGCTGCGGTACGCACGGAGGGATGCGGCTTCCCCGCTTCCTCCCAGCCGCTATTAGCACCGCAGCCCTCCGCGGCACGCACCGAGCGATGCGCACATCGGCACCGCGCAGTGGGACAGCGGTGCTGAGCTGCGCAAAGAGCAGCTCAGAGGGAGAGTGTTGGAGGCTGCTCTAAGAGTCCAACGCGCTTCTGTAAAGAACGGGTTAACTCACACCACGAGCGCTTCGCAAATTAATATTCCCGGGTAAATTACGCATTAACATATGCCCGATCTGTAATTAGATCGCCCTGAGGTTATGCTTATGAAATATTTAATGTACCGAAGGTTTGCAGGTGTTCTTTATTCTTTATTCTTTTTTTTTTTTTTTTTTTTTTTTCCGGAAACAAGGAGACATGCAAACAAAAGTTCATTGCTCAGATTCCCCTTGCTTGTTTTTCTGCACTTCAGCAGTTTGCCGTCACCAAAAATTCTTCACCGGAGTTGGCCAATTCCAAAATTCAGTCCTATATCTGGGAGGTCACTTGACATTTTTTGGGCATCAATCCAGAACTCTTCAACATTTTTTCAAATTTAAATATTTTCTCGGTTATTTTAAAGTAGCTATGAAGTTAAAACAGTTGATTTTATTTTTTTAAAAGGGGGAGAGAGAAGTGTAAGGCATGTTTTGATGAAAAGAAGAACCTGTAATTCATCTCTTGCTCTTTCTTGGATGGCTTTTACTTTTCCTTTGAGCCTCATGGATATCTCTTCAGCAACAACAATATTTTTATTGACTTCAATGAGACCTGATCAAGCCCTGGATTCACATATATGTCTGCATCCAAACTCCCAAATGCCTTTGGGAGTTGTGCTAAGGATGAGATCTAGGATAAGGAATGTAGTTTGGATAGCAGCATCAGAAACTCTCATTAAAAAAGCGTTAGTTTGTCCATGAATAGGCATATAGCACACAAGAGGCTGGTGTAATGTTCTCCTCTGCTACAGCGTAATTCCAAATGTCCAGCTAGATAGCCTAGGAAAAAGAGAAATGCTTAGAATGGTCAGTGGTAATTGAGTGGTGCACCTCAGTGCTTGCCTGTTGTCTTGTCCTTGATTTCCCAAATGAGACAAAAAAGCTGGCCAAACGTCTGCAATGCTGCGTTTCACTAGGCAAGGATGTAGGCTTTCCAAGAAGATGCAAATTAACCTGTTCAGATTACCCTGTGGATTTTGAAGTCTTTCCTGTATAGATTTCAAAACTGTAGTAACTCATTAGTGCAAGAGTGGAAAGTTAGGTCAATCATGCCTCGTCTAACAAGAGGAAACCTCTTCTAGCTCGAGAATCTTGAAGGATAAATCACTTAAACAAGTTGTCTTCTTTTTCCTCCCAAGTTTGCCCTTTTAGACCCTTTTTACAGTTACAGCATTCCCTTTAAACAAGAAAGCCTGTTAGCATGTCCCGAGTTGTGGATGGCACTAAATCCTTGTCAAACAGTTCCGACCTGGAAATCAGAAATCTGACCTTTCCCAACTGAGAGATAGAGAGCCACAAATCCTCAATTATCTTTAAGACACAACACGAGTTTTGTGCACTTTGGACCAAATTCAATCCTGATGTAAAAAGATGCAGTCCCCTTGAGTCTCCAGAGCTGCAAGCTGCTTACATTAAGGCTGTACTTCAGCCCTTGGTTTTGTCCATGAGTCTTAACTCTTAATTAAGCTTAATTCTTACTCCTGGAGAATTAATTTCTCTTCAGGATTTGTTGTTCGAGTGTTAGGAATGCCTGATGTTTCTGTCTAATTGCACAGTGAGATGAATTGCTATGGGACATACTCATTTTTTTCTATCAAATTGTAGGAAGATTGAATCAAACCCAAGAAATCCACCAAGTATGTTCTAAATTAGCATAAAGAACACAGCCAAAGGGTGGGAACTGGACACAGATTTTGGGAAATTCCTGTCCTTGAATCTACCTGTTGCAACATGCTTCCTAACATGGGGCAGCTTGGTGTCTCCTGAGAAAAGAGAGTCTTTGTTTTATGGGACATTTTCAGTCCCATTCAGCAGGATCAAACTCACTTGCAAGAGAAAGCTGTTCAAACCTTTATCTCCCACAAATCCATCAGTGATATTTCACCACCTTTCAAATCCACCACATTTTCTTAGTCTTGTCAGGATTTTTAGCAATCCAGACATTATTATTATTTTGTTCAAGTCTATTAGTTTTAGAGATTTCCTATAGTTATGCATTGAAAACACTGAATACACTTATTTCTCAACTGCTCATTATTAAATTAAATACTCTTTATAAATCATTTTGCAAACAATGTTTTCAAATGAATATTTTTGGTTAGTTTTCTGGAGAAGTCTAGATATGCCGGTGTTTGAACTAAGCTGTACAGCCTTTGACTCCCACTCTAGAAAAACAGCATAGTCAACACTGTTCCTTACTTTGGACTGTGTGTATTTCTGTGGCTTAAATGCTCTTGGAAACCCATTTAGGATGGAGACCTCCTGGTATTTGTTTTGACTGAGTCTATCTCTTGCTTTTTGATACTGATGTAGGTTTGTGGTTGATAAGTGAGCCAACATCACCATTACTGGTGTATCCTTCCCACCAGCCTTACCAAACGAGTCGGGAACTGAGTGGTTCTGCACACTGAGCTGACTTCTTCATCTTTCTCATACTGGATGTGACAATGGCAAAGGCAGTAGCAAGAAGCTTTCTCTTAACTGCACATTCTCTCATTTTCAGGGCCGTCAATTCCTCTAAAGAGATTATCTTTTCCATGGAGCTCAGTTCCAAATTTTTGTAGACCTTAAATTATTTAAGCATCAAATAATGCGTACTTCAGAAAAACCCAAACAATTAAAAAGTATTTTCATAATGAAAATGCATAGTGATAACAGACTGGGAGGAGTGCAGCTGCTTTCTGAGAGCAACCCTACGGAGAAGGACTTGGGGCTTCTAGTGAATGAAAATTTTGACACAAGCCAGCAGTGTGCCCTTGCAGCCTGGAAGGCCAACTGCATCCTGAGCTGCATCACAAGATCAGTGATGGCAGAGCAAGGGAGGAAATTGTTCAGCCTCTGCTCTACTCTCGCGAGACTCCACCTGGACTACTGCATTTAGCTCTGGGGCCCCCAGCACAGGAAAGATGTGGAGCTGTTGGAATGGATCCAGAGGAGGGCATGAAGATGATTGGAGGGCTGGAGCATCTCTGCTGTGAAGAAAGGCTGAGGGAGCTGGGCTTGTTTAGCCTGGAAAAGAGAAGGCTCTGCGGAGACATCATTGTGGCCTTCAGTACTTGAGGGGATCTTACAAGCAGTGGAGGGGCTAACTTTATGCATGGATAGACAGTGATAGCAC